ATGGCTTGTGTATATCGTATATATACATATATATTATTCATACCTTCGGTGTATAGGACGCAAGCAGATTTTGACATCAAATTTTGGGGTAAAAAAGTGCGTCCTATACACCGAAAAATACGGTACTTTTTTCTGAAACTAAATAATAATATTAATAAGCCAAAACGCTGTTGACGCATATAAAGTCAATTCTTGAAAAATGCAACTTATTTATTGTTATGTTAAAAACTATACATTTTTAAATGTAATACGCGTAAGTTTCTAATAACTAAAGGCATTATTAAGTAATTATACTTAATCATCATGCGATACAGTATTATTGTAAAACCTCAATTTGATTGTAGAGAGATAAACAGAATACGTTTGTGATTTGATAGAAAATTCAAACACTCGAGTGTTTGTCGTTGAACAATCATGCTTTTGATTTGTTTTGAACCGTAATGGTAGAAGCTCGGTGTATTTTTAGTAACAATTATTCTGTGGTTCACTTCTTGGAGTAGATAAAATTCGAAACTTTTTTTGATGGATAAATGTTACGATTGAGTGTTGGAATAAATCAATTATCTTATCCTAGAAACATCAGTCAAATAATATCACTTTCATACTGGCAAAATGTCTGTCAAATGAATAAAGATTTTTGTAAAACTGATTTACTCGAGTGTTAAGTTCTTCTTTTGACTGTTTTTTATTAAAACTATCATTAGGAGCTTCATATTTTTTTATATTTACTCCAGGCATGTCTATTATTTCGAGCAGCTGGTATGTGTTTAGATTGTATTATCATGAAATATTATCTTTTAGGCTGTTTGTTTTGAAAGGATTAAAATATTTAGAACAACTGAGTGGTAGTAGTTCATTGATATTAAAAAAGAGAAAATTGGATATTTTGGAGAAAATATTTTTATTAAATATTAAGCTTAAAAAAAACATTGAAACATTTGAATTGCTGTGTGTATCATATTAGATCGTAATTCAAGTAACGTTTACCGTAGCATTTTAATTGTCTTCATTGCATTTAAAACGTCAATTACTTTAGTGAGAGAAAAACTGCATTTAGGAACCTTAAAGATATCAGTTGTAGTTAACAAATAAATATGTCAGTGTATTATATCTCTAAATTTAGAAATCTTACAGAGAAAACACATTTTATATGCTTCACTTACCGATTTACTTTTGTCAAAATATTGTAATATTTCAAAAATATTAAAAATAAAAGACACCTCGAAACACCAATTCGTATCTAATAAGGCGTAAAAAACAAAAACATAAAAGAGTTTAAGTAGTAATGGAATCTGCTTAATATATCTTAGTCTAATAAGACTTTCTTTTTAGCGAGGTACTACAATTGAACTTAACACTGTATTGTATTTGTTATTTTAGATTCCCGAGTTTTAACATCGCCACAAATCTTGCACATAAAGACACGTATGAAGAAACAGGAGATAAATTCCTTAACATCTATCTAACATAATAAACCATGACGTAATACCAACAGCATCAACCTTGAACACTTTCACTGTTGAACTTAAAACCAAACATGGACATGTTTTCCATGGTAACGATACTAGTGTTCATCAAAGCATACAAACTGTGTGTGTTCTTAGGGAACGAAACCAGAGGGAATGGGGGGGGGGGGGCTAACTTTCTTGTAACAAATAAACCGGCTTCGCCTGATTTATTTCTCTTTCATCGCCGCAGGGGTGGGGCGTTGTATGAGAGTTAGTAACATGTCTTAGTAACAATATGAACACATGGTTCTTCAAATAATACCTTCCCAAGATTTAGCTTTTTGATGGTATTTTTATAGCAAAAATAAAATATAAATATTCCTGGGTAAATAATTAGTGTTCAAACGTACATTACATCAAAATTAATAACCATATGGAAGTTTTCTTTTCTTTTTTCTTTTTTTTTTTTCAAAATTAATTTAGGCTGTATTTATTGTTTTTGACACACTTGTTATTTTTACAGATGGCGCTAATAATTAGACAGTGTGCAAGTCAAGAGAATATTTACGCCGGTAAGTTGTTAAGCTTTAATTATCTGAAAATTTTCAATGGGTGATGTACATGATAATTCATCAAATATATCTAAATTAGAAAAGGAAAAGGTTAGATAATTAAGACGGTTACAAAAATAATTTATTAATGAGAGAGAAGACTAAATATATAATTTGAATAGAATTGAGCTATTATTCTCGATGATGTTTTGGTATAATAAAGATAATTGGTCGGAACACTGACTGAATGTTTAGACTGTGCAAGGGACACATGAATTAGTTGCAGCATATATCTTACTAGGAAAATCATTTTCTTGTGGATGGATAAAGTAGGTTTTAAAAACGTGAAAAGAGTAATCATGATTTTTAAGTTAAGAAATCTTGAAGTGAATTTATTATCATCAGCTAATTTGTACTAATTGGTCATTATTGAATGTTACTATGGAAACCTTTTAAGTCAAGACCTACTTGCAGATGAGAGTTGAAGATATGGAGAGAATGAGTCCTAAATTTTCTCACCCTGTCTCTAAAATTGAGCAGATGGTTTGTTTAGTGTGGTTGTTGTTAAGCCCAAAGCTACACTTCGGGACAGTTGTGCTCTGCCCATCACAGGTATCGAAACACGAATTTTAGCGTCGTAAGCCTGCACCTGCAGACTTACCGCTAAACCACTGGGGAGGGGAGTAAAGGAGAGGGTGCAATGCTTAATTTTTAACCTGCTACATTTGTAATACGATGCTTTAATAAACTAGTTATTCTGGAATTGGTAGGGTAAACGTTTGTTTGTTTACTATTAAGCACAAAGCTACACAATGTGCTATATGGGCTCTGCCCACCACAGGTATCGAAACCCGGATTTTAGCGCTGTAAGTCCGCAGACATACCGCTGTGCCACTGGGGGCTAAAGTAAACGTACTTCAACCGTGAGCACTATGAACTGTTTAATGAAACTAAGGTATAATTTTTCATATTTATTTGACTTCAAATTACACAAAATATTTCAAATGTGCGTAAGTTACACTTAATTTAGAACATTGTAACACGTCTCTTAGTAATGACTAATGAAGAGATTTAACATGTTCTTAAATAGTTGAATTTTTACACCACAATAATGCATATTTATAGAATGCCTTATTTGCGTTAGTGTTGAATTAATCTCTTTCAAATCAGACCTTCTCGTGATCTTTTGTGCCCCAGAGAGGGTCTGGCGAGGATGTGTATAGGTGATTGTTTATAGGTTTATCGAAATCGTGATAAAATAATGTGTTTTCATTGGTTAATTGAAAATGATTGCTGATTAAGAAGCACTAATTGCAATCGTGTTGACATCTTTTAAATTACACTTCAGCTTAAAGCCTTTACAGACATTGTGTTTGAAATAGCTGTTGCTCGGTAACGATGTTTTTGCTGTACTACCTACGAGATATGGATAAATAGTAATATACATGCTTTTTTGCCAAATTTATTTTGGGAAGCTCAAAACATCTAAAAGAAAAAGTGGAGTGAAACAGAAGGTGATTTTATTCTGTAGTCAGAAATCACACAAGTGTCAAGTATTGGATGTGATGGCTTTAAGTTCAATATTTGAAATTTTAACAAATTAATATGCGTAGTGCAATAATTTTTCTTTTATGTATTTGATATGGGAAATTTATGACCAGTTCACTTGTACATTTATAGAAATACAGTTTGGTTAAATTATGTCTTTTTATATAATATATGTTGAAGCAATATTCTTCAAAATTTGTACCACTAGCACAGTATTCATATTCGTTTATCACTATCAAATAGATAAATATATACGTTTATTACACGTAATATACTTGTTGATCGTGAAACCTTTGATGATGGCGACAGCCCAACTAATGGTCTGTTATCACATGTTTTCCACAAGTTAACAATTTTATTTTATATTATTTTGATTAGACTGAATAAAATAATTCGTCAGTTTTTGTATGATCAACAATTTTCTCTAATCATTTTACAGTCTTAAAAAACGACAACCATAATTACCTTCGTTTTCAAAAGACATTTTGTTAATACATTAAACCAATTCTTAGATTGACACTTTTGCCACGGATTTATTTAATTTATAGTACCTCTGGCTTGATTTCAATGTACAAGAAACGCATGCATTAATATATACGGAATCAGATCATACTTTAAAACTTAAACAGGCACCGCCATTTGTAAACTATTTTGGACAGACTCACTCGTGAGTTCTGCAAGACTCATAAGAGAGTCTAGTTTTAATGAGACTAGCGTTGAATATAATATTTTAGGCCTAACTTAAATCTAATAATAAGGCCATATATTGTGAGTTGTATTTGGTTTGCAGCTAAAAATACAGGTAACAGCAAGTGTAATGATTTGGTAATGTAACGCAATTTACCTACTAAAGTTGTATAACATTTTGCACACTTTTTATTTGTTTTTAAGGCTCTGTTAATTCAAAGTTGTATACTTGTATACCCTGACTCAAGTTACATTATTAAATCTTGTTTTTGTATCACTGTCATGATATAAAAGTCTGTTTAGTTTAGATATTATTGATTAATTTATTTTGTGTGTGAATATTTTATTATAGCTTAGTTTTGTTATAATAAGAGTTAAAAGCAGACGATTGTAAAAAGTTATGTTTATAAGTCATTGATGTTGAGACTGTCGAACGTCGTGTGCAAGACATTGACGTCGAGAATATAGAGATTTCTAGAAAGCAGACAGTCAAAGACAGACAATAGCAGAAGAGAGTAAATTTACGGGTAAGGAAAAGTTCGACGTAAAGTTAGCTACTATAAAAGTGATAGGCCTAACGATTAACATAGGCCTAACGTTTGATATGTTACAGTAATACTAACAGTAGAAAAGTAGATAAGAAGAATACTTTATTCCGTCAAAGCGTGGTTCTAAAGTAATTGAATCAGCCTGAGTGCACTTTGACAAAAGGAACAGAGGATCTTCAGAAGAACAAAGACCAAACGATTATCGGTAACTCGCACCATAATTGTAAGTGAATCAAACACAGAATACTAGTGCGATAGTAATAGAGAAGATAGTTCGGCTTGCCAACTGAAATTCTAAAGTAATTGAATAGGCCTAAATGGACTTTTGACAAGAAGAAGAGAACTATATATATATATATATATATATATATATATATATATAGTTAGTTAGTATAGTGTCGTATACTACTTAGTTGTTAGTTAGTAAGTTAGTT